CAATATTTGTAGTCTTGTTTTACCCATAAAAAAAAACAAGACTTTCGTAATAGGACTTTAAGTTAATGTATATCTTCCTTTCAAGCAATATTCTTGTGCAGTTTTTCTGTCACTTACAAATGTTTAGAGATAAACATCTATCTATAAAAATTAATAACTTAATAAAGCTAAATTACTATATGCCTTCGTATATGTCTAAAATAGGCTTTTAATTGTTTACTTTTGTTAAGATTTGATGATTAGAAAGTACACTTAGAAAATATTTTAGGTATATTTTATAAATATTAAGAAAGAATTGTAAAATTTAGAAAGGCTTGCCCTCAATCAACATACCAAAAATATGGCGATTGTTTCTATTCAGGAAATTTGTTTCTTAAAAATATAAAAAATATTTTTTGAAAGTATTTATACAAACTCATTCTTTGGGAAATAATCCTTACTTAAATTCAGAAACAAGTAATGAAATCTACTCACTTGTCTTATATTTTATTATGTAAGTAGGTAAGTTCTTTCAAGTTCTATCAAGAATTATACATAGAAAACAACACTTTGGAAATTAGACATACATTTTCTAATTTTAAGAAAAGTCTACCCTGAAATGCAAACTCCAGTTTTTTGAGAAATTCACAAGCATACAATTTAAAAATATATTTTCTGACTAAAAAGGGCGCCAATGTATGGCGATTTACAAATATTTCGGAAAATGTTTGTTTGAGTGTATTTTATAGCACTTGTAGAGTATGGATTTCTAGTCCATGGCCAGTCATGAAAAAAGATACGTCAACATTTAATGAGATAAGCCGCAAAGTCGCAATGCAACTAAAGTAATTTGTGCGCTTTTGGTAAGGACACAGAGCTGGCAGGCAAGCACGTTGCAGTCGAGTGTAACCGACAGCAATCGCAAACTCAATCAGCCGTGTAAAATTCTCAGAGCAAATGGATCCATAAAAGTGCAGAAGATGCGATGAGCTTTCCGCAGAATAATTGCAGCTGGGGAAGGCATGGAAAATGTAATTAGAGCCTTCCACCAGAGAGACAAAGCTTCAGTTGAACCAACCAGACCACCTACAGATATAGATGAGGACCTCAAATTGTTGGATGGACAGACACAACTGACAGTGATAGCGCACACAGGAAAGCAAAATAATGCTACGCTATATAATAATTAGTATAATGCCCATTAAAGTGAATATGCCAATTTAATAATTAATTCACAGCAATTCCACCATCAGCTTTTATAGTAACACAAATAATAAAGATCAAAGAGATACCCTGTATCTGTGACAATATATAAGCATTATCAATTTTTATGATTATAATAAACTGTTGTGCATTTGCATTCTCTAAATCATTTCATGGTCAAACCCAATTGGTTAAATCCAAAAAACCTATATACAAGAGGCGGCTGATTAGTCAATATCTTTAATGCGAAAACTTTACTTTTTAGAGTGGAAAAAAATACACTTTTCAGCATTGGCTTATTTCAGAGCAATACAATTTATCCAACGCACCTCCAACTATTCTATGCACTCAAAATTCTATCATTTAACATAGAGAACGTCTTTATATAAATGTTGAAACTTATATTACTAACTTAAGGCTAACTAGTAACATTCCTGCCAAGATTAATAAACATTTTTTTCGACCGGTGCAAAATCGATATTTGTCACAGTTCTACAGCTAAAGTTACTTTATCTGAAAAGTCAATTTTTATTACTGAGCCATTGAGATATAACGAGGCTACAGTGAGTTATTTTAAAGTTGTAAAAATGTGTTGAATGCAAAAGTGTTGCATTCCAAAGTGAAATTGAAATTTTGCCACAAATATACTCGTATCCATTTAAATGTCGGCATAACTTTTATCATAAATTTCACAAAACGGGCAATAATAAAGTAACCGAGTGCCGAGTGTACAATATAAATATATTTTGGCCATGTGCCGTGTGCCGTGTGCAAGCCGCCTCACTCCATGCCATTACGGGTTGTAACAGTTCAATAACACAAAACAATGAACTTGCCAACATACTGCGTATTAATACACATTCATTCGCGATTTTGTTGTTCGTTCAACTTGGCGAGAAAAACTGTTGCCCTTTAGTCAATCAGTGGTTGTTCAGCCCATCCCCAAGCAAGCCAGCCAGCCCAGCCCAGCCAGCCAGCCCAGCCAGCCACAAAAGCTGCACTGAAATGCAGAAACTCCCGCTGGACAAATAATTTCAATTTTTGCTGAGATTTTTGTGAAGCGCTTTTCCCACCAGCACTTTCCCATTTGCAACCTGTTTGTGGCAAAGAGCTGTGAACGGTTAAGCAGTGTTTATGCCTGCTAAATGCGAATCTGACAAAGGTCGACTGGGTATTATGCTCAACTTATTGTGCTTTTGTGATAGCTTCAACTGGTCGTTAAATAAATTTCCTGGATGTGCTTGTCAAATCAGTCAGACTTGTGTAGGCCGTGGGCAATTAGCACTCGAGCTGCACTGGAGTCTGTTGAGTCTGTTGAGTCTGTTGGGCTGTCGAGTTGAAATCAAAAGTGTCATCACATCCTGCATCTTCTACTCACCGAGATATCTCCCCATTGAGTCAGATGTCGTATGAATAGTTAATGACTTGTACACAAGACTGCTGCTACGTCCTTAACTGTTGCCTGTGTTGGATACCACCCACATATCCTGGAACTACACTCAGCTTAAGTTCACGACTGCTTTTGCTTTTGTTTATCGACTGGACCGTGTTGGGTTGTTGGTGGCAAATTGGACAAAGCCGGTCTAGGCAGAGGAGACAGGGACAGGGCCAAGGACAGGGCCAGGGATGTTGCTGCCTTGCCAAAAAACCGTACACAGCCAGGAGGGAAGCAACGGCTGGTTCAGTCATAAGCATTAACAATGCAGGTTGACCAACCAGTCCGCAGTTGTATGTGTTGTAAAATTTTGCACTGCAGCTTATGCAAAGTTGCTGATAGCAATTTGCAAATTTAATGGCGTGAACAAATTCAATCAATGTATGCAAACAATGACACCGACTTTGACGATGGCAACATTGGCCTAACCCAATCTCTTTGGCAAAATTCACAGGCAGTTAGCAGTTAGCAGTTGGCTATTGGTAACCAAAATCGCCAACCCGACTGCCCGTCTGTCAGCCCGTGTCTTGTTGTTGGCATTGAATGCATTTTAGATAAAACTGCAAAAGGCAACAATAATCAATGTTTTGGCATCTTCTACTGTCGATAAGTAATATGTCTGCTGTCTGTTGCCTGCTGCCTGCTGCCTGCTATCTTCAGCCAGCCAGCCAGCAAGCCAGCCAGCCAGCTGCAAGTAGTCAGTCAGTCAGTCAGTCAGGCTGGAGCTGTGCTAGAATTGTTTACCATTGCCAACTGATGATAAGGTTCTTGCCATGCATTGCCACACAAATATGCGGGAAATTTTACAGGTGTGCTTAGTTAGTTGTTTGGTTGTTTGGTTGTTTGAGTCTGGCCGACTGCGGTAGCTTTTCCATTTTCCTTCGCAAGATATAGTTACTTGCGGAGCATTCAGGAGTGTTTATATTATTAATTGTTTCAGGATTATAGATATACATCTTTAACACACACACACACACACAATAAGTAAGTAATATATGTATGTAAGTAGACCAGTGTAAAATAGAAAAATTCTTGCAGAATTTTCTTAAATATAATAATGAAATATATTTCATTCAACTCATATGCATGATATGCATGCCACATTCTTTAATATTTGAAATCTGTATTCAGAGCTCTGCACAATAAAAACTTAAACAGCTCTTCCGTTTTCATAGAAACAACTTGCAGACAATTTTGTACTTTGTTTTTATAAAAAGTGGCCATACACAAATTTGTCTTTGTAAGCGGATCTAATGACAACTTAACTTAAAAAGTTGGCCAAGAAATGCCAAAAACTAGCAAGAAGAAAGTGAAGGAAATCCTTTGTAAATTATTACGAAAGGCAGGCTGCAAATTAATGATAACGACAGCGACTCACACGCACACCAGGCATCCACACCCATAAGTCAGTACTTACACGCACACACACACACACACACACACACACACACACACACACTCATACACAGGTTACTTTGCTGGAGTGCCAGAAGTTTATAGCGAAGCGGGTCCAATGAAAAAATTAGTAAGTAGAACCACCGTCAGACAACAATGGACTTGTCTGTGTACACAAAAGTACTTGATGCCAGAAACGGTCCTGTAAGGCTAGTAACAAATTCACGACGACTTCCGAACGCTTGTGTTGCCAGTTGTTTGTGAACAACATGTGATTATTATTTAATTTCATTTTATATTTATGTTTTATTATAGATATGAGTTATCATATAAAGATAAATAGAAAAAATAAAGTGTTGAACCCACAAGTATCTAACTAAACTGGACAAATCATGTTCCATTTTATTCACTTTTAGTTGGGTTTTAGTTTTCCTTATACGAAACTCGATAGTTCCATAATGATGACCGTGTGTCATTCGAATCTGAATATTTTCAAATCTAAACTGTTGTGAAATATAAATGAAAACAGTTTGCCCGAGCTGACAAATTGGTGGTTTGCATAAGCGGATGAACAGTCACAGTGACAAAATGACCAACTGTGATTTTTGCATCACCAGATTGGATAAAAGTGTATCTATGTGTGTGTGTTTGTGTGTGTGTGTATATACATACACTGTGGCAACAAATGCTTGGGCCGCTAGCTGCAAGTTTTTGTTGTCACTGTTGCTATACTCTACTGGTTCAGGTGTACGTTATTTATGACCACGACTTTTTCATTTGCCTATCGGATCGCTGTGAAAGTTATAAGGTAAATATTTCCGCTGCCTGTTTGGCCCTGACAGCTCAGAATGCCTAAAAACACCCTGACACCCACACATAAATGCATTTTGTGTTACTCGATTTGAAGAATTTTTCAAAGTGCGTACATTTATTTTTTTTTCAACTTAAATTTCCCCAAGTTATACTGTAGAAGTTTTCCGTCATACACATGTGAAATAAAAAATATTATTATTAATACAACAAAATGTGTGTTGCAAAATTTATTGTATATATTCTGTTGGTTTTCGAATTATACATAGAGAGGTCTATCTCAGATTCTGGCCAGACATGGAACTGCAGTGCCAACCATATGGAATTAATGTCCAGGAAAGAAATGACAATCGCTCATGGACTTGAACTTAAGGGTTCTGGTTCTGGTTCTGTTTCTGGTTCTGGTTCTGTTTCTGGTTCTGATTCTGGCATTCGGAAGCAGGTCTCACTGCGGACAGGCCATGCTCCATTGAGTGAAGAGGCGAACTCCAACAGGCATGACGATATCGATGGGGCGTTTCACTTTCTAGTAACCGGCGGCTATCGTCCCGAGAAAAACGAACTGGTAAAGTTTGTTGTCTCATTGCGCACAAAAGAGCCACGTAAATTCTTTGGCGACAATCATTTTTGTGGTGGCAGTCTAATATCTGCCAAGCTGGTTCTCACGGCGGCCCATTGTCTATTTATTGGGTATGTGTGTTGTGTGTCAAAGTTACTACTAGTCTGGCGCCTAGTGAATAGATTTTTATATTTTACCTGGAGGGGCTTGGCAGGAGGAGCAAGATTCAGGCCAGAAAGTTGAAGGTCGTTGCTGGTGCGCCGCGTCGTCTACTGCAGACGGTCAGCACCCAGGAAATGAAGGTGGAGAAAGTCAAGCCACATTCAAAATTCTCAAGCACTCGCCTCGTCAATGACATTGGCATTGTTAAGCTTAAGGATGGCGTCCAAACAGATGAAACGTTCGTTGCTATCATACCCTTGACTGATCGGGATCCTCAGCCTGGAAAGCAATGCACAGTCGTTGGATGGGGTACAGTTATTCAGGTAAATCTAAGCACATATCCTACACTAAGAAAAAACGCTCTGAATTTTAGTAAATCGCCATACTTTTGGCACTAATGTTTGGGTCACCACATTGTTCAGCAAGTAAGTTTCCAAAAATTATGGTTGTGGCTTTTTCAAAACTAGAGTTTGCATTTATAAATTTTAGGTTGGAATTTTTCCAAAATTTTAGCTCAATTGTGCCAAATTTCCAGAGGGTTTTTGAAGAATTTTTATATTAGCTTTCTTGTTACTCAAACAGTTTATAGAAATTCGAATACTTGACTTGATTACTTACGATTTCACGGAGATTCGATCCTGCTAGGCTCAAAAGGATTTTTTCTTAGTAATCGAACATATTACTAAAAAATAGAAAAAATGTCCATATTTTTGGGATTAGGAATTATATTCATTTGACAGCGATTTACTAAAATTTAGGAGGATTTCTTCTGAGTATATATATATATATATATATATATATATGTATGTATGTGCGTATTTGTACACTGATTCTTATTTGGATCTGGGTTCCCAGTACGGCCCTATCCCCGACGAGGCGGTCAACGCAGATCTGTCGATTAACACATATGCCTTCTGCTCGAAACTACAAGGATTCACCAAAGGCATGATTTGCGCCTCGAACGCAAATGATCACCAAGCGGACAGCTGCCAGGGTGATTCGGGTGGTCCCCTTATTTGCGAGGGTAAAATAGCTGGCATTGTTTCATATGGATTCGGATGTGGTGTGCCCAATTCGGCTGGCATCTACACCGATGTGCATCACTTTCGCAAGTGGATTGAATCGAATGTGGCAACATGCCACTTGCCACTGGCCAATTGGTTGCACTGCCTAATATTAGCAGCCATGCAACTGTACTATTTATAAAATGTATGCTTTATAATGCATCGAATTTTGCGCTTTAGATGTGCAACAGGTGCGGCATTCTGCATTTGACAAGCCAAAATTGAGTGAAACCATGGCCCTGAAGTCGGCCCAGCAAATCCAAAACAAGCGACAAAATGCGGTAACCATTACGCTCACTTACACATACACCAACACACCAACACACCAACACAGCAACACTGCAACACATCAACACAGCAACGGGTGTATTTGTGCAGCCGCACACAAATGCTGTGATGGGCGCACACTCATTTTGGTCAACGGTGGTTTCTGGTTTATGGGTTTGCTGCCACATAACGCACTGTTTACTGTCTCTGACAGCAATTATCACATCACCCGCGAAGCGCACAAGTATCTGCCATAATAAATGTTATATATGTATATGTTGGGTGGCTGATACATCTGTGTGAGTTTTGAAAATAGTAAATAAACGGCTAAGCAGAAAATTGTAAACGTAAATTGAAGTCTATTTTTATATAAATTGTAACAAATATAAAGCTACACTCAGAAAAAAGTTGACCTGAATGTTTGTAAATCGCCATCGTTGGTCGCCATATTATTCAGAAAAAGTAAAAAAATTTTAAAAATATTTTTTTGTGGCTTCCTAAAAACGATTTTCAGGTTGAATTTTTAAGCAGACGAAAGCTACAAGAGCCGAGCGAGTATATTTGAATTTTAGAAGGGATTTGTTCTTAAAATTAGTACATTTCTTCTCGTTAGAAAAGTCTTTCTTAATAACACAAAATATTTGTAATTTAACAAAAATAACAAATTTTTTCTAAAAAGAAGACAAAATGTATATTTTTTTAGAGGAATTGAGTAAAATTTCGTTTCTTTGTTTTTCTAAGTGTAGTTATGCAGTAAATTCTCGTGGAATCTTCGCCAGTCAGCTGAAGATTTTAGATGGCAATAATGCGTGAAATGAAACAACATCCCACTGGCAATTCAATTGATGTGGATGACATGCTCATCCGATACAAAGATGGAGCGCTTTTGTTGTTGCAACACAATGTGGAAGTGGGGCACTGGCTTAGCCCGAGCTGTACTCATCCGCAAATGCTGTGAAAATCACTGCGGAAACATGTTGATTGAATATCTGAAATCCAATTAGTAACCACATACGTAGATACGTAGACACATACATGCAATCACAAATACAATTAGAAAAGGCAACAATAACAAGAAGTGAAACCTTTTACTTCATTTTGTCGTCACACAAGTCACGAACACACACACACACACACACACACACACACACACACACAGAGACACTCGCAGACAGAAAAGCATGTTATTTTCACGTAGGACTCTAAAGGGACAGCTACACAACCAATCACACACAGATACACACAGATACAAACAGCCACAGAGACAAACACACACAATCAGTTTGTCATTTCATATTCGTATTGTCTGCTGTTCAAGTGTTCATAATGAATTTAATCGCGTATGTTTATTGCTCACTTTTATGTGGGTGGGCCACTGTGTGCGCACACAAGGACACACATATGTACACACATACACACATACACACATGCATGCATACATCAAAATCACACGTACACACACTGACATTTGTGATTTGTTTGTATGTACAATATGTGTGTGTGTGTGTGTGTGTGTGTGTGTGTGTGTGTTCTATGGAAACATTCCCACAAGTTGTTTTGCAGCCAGCGTCATTCAACACAGTTTATCATATTGCCACGCTTCTTGTTTGCCAAGTTTGCTCTTCAGTGTTCCTTTTGCATATTGATTTATCATTGCTCTTGTTGTTGTTCTTGTTACAGTAGACACTCAGCAAAAAAAAACAAAAAAACAACAACAAAAAAACGCACAGAATTTTAGAAATTTGTCATACTTTGACGTCATTCTTTAATTATTCACAAAGTATTTTTATATACACATTTGTCTAAAACCAATTCCAACTTATTTATATCTATAAACATATTTCAATAAGCACAAGTATTTCAAAATTGCACTAAATATCTAAAAATTAGGGTTTGCACTTGTACTTTTTAAGCTTTCTGGTTCGTAGAGCGTTTTGAATTTTAGGACGATGTTTTTTCTGAGTGTACTGTTTAGCCGCTCCAAGCCAGCCAGCTTGTTGTCTTGCCCTTTTTTGTGCCCAAAGCACAGTAAATTGTTTGCATATATTAGACACATACCTCAAATTGCATTTTAAATGAAGTTCATTTGAAAATAATTGCAGTTTAACTTTATTGTCGTTGGTTGACTTTGGCCAAATTGATGCTTGCTGCACGCCCTGTTGCCAATAAAAAGCAAATGGGGCGAGAAGCAAATGCCGCTTCAATTGATTCAATCGAAAATAACATAGCCAATTGAATTAATTGGCCACTTTACATATAATGAATAGAAGCCATCAAGCCCCCATCAAGTTCCCCCAATTCATGGGCCAAATCGCTCGAAGTTCCTCAAACCTTGCCACTCACCTGGGGGATTCATTTTCACACAAACCGCAACAGCCTTAGTACAAATGGCACTGTCCCTGGTTTATTGGGACAGAAATAACTAACGCAATATAAACAACAAATGTCAGAAGTCAACCCGGTGTTGTACTAAGCCAAATTGCCTGCCACTAAGCAGTAGCAACAACTTAGCTAGTTGCCACTTGCCACGTTGAGGTGATAACTACAAGGGCTTAATCAACAACCTAAAAAGCATGCTAAACACACTCAGGAAAAAATCGCCCTAAAATACAATTTTTCTATTAAGCAAATATGTTGCTTAATGACAGAAAATATTTGTAAACAGACGTGCTAACTTTTGCTTTTAGAAATAATCCTTATTTAAATTCAGAAACAAGTATTGAAATTTACTGGCTCGGTTTCTAATTCCCTGTAAAATCGTCAATCTTTTCAAATTCAAATATATGAATTTATAAACTATTTCAAATGTTTGTATATGTGAAATCTGAAAATATTAATGTTTATTCATAATAATACACGCATAGAAAGTAACACCTTGAAAAATAGACATAAGTTGTTCTTAATTTTAGATAAGTCCACCCTGAAACCTTTGCAAGATCAATTCAGAAATTTCCTTTCTGAATAATATCTACTAAAATGTAGGACAAGTTTTTTTCTGAGTGTACCGCAGTAAGTTTGCGTCAATTCAAATTCATTCGAGCAATGGAGATGCAATGGTCAAAACTGGGACAATACGAGTACCAAGGCGCACAAGTGCCTGACGAAAGCCCCGACTAAGCTAAAAACGCATTTCCGATATGTAAATTGCATTCATCACATACACACACACACAACCACACGCACACACACACACACACACACACACAGACACAGAGGGACTTGCAGTTTTGTTGATTCGTATAAGTAAGGGGCAACCGGTCAAAAGGATGGCAAACTCTCGTCTCATCTCTTCGTCGCAACACAACACACATCCTGGCCAAATCGCCGGCTAAGCTTCAACTTCAACACATAGATCGCGTCGGGCCGAGGCCCAGTCCCAAGCCCAGGCCCAGGCCCGAAATCGCTATCAATTTGCGTTTGTAAATACATTTTAATGGCATTTCAAAGTAAAGCTGAGTTGACTCCGGGCGGGCTGCGGCACCTCATTCACCATCCATCCATCCAACCACCCATCCAACCCGCAACATGTCCCGTAATCAATTTGAAAATTTGAACGTGGTTGATGCCGTCTATGTGCTCGGTGCTATATGCTCTGTGTTCTGTGTTCTGTGTTCTATGCTATTGCGGATGGAACTGGCGCTCAGCTATTGCGTGGGTCTGAGTGACACCGGAAATTCAAACTACTTCCTGTTTGTAGCTGGTATTCGTTAGCACAGCTTTTCATTTGAACTCGAGTTTGGTTTGACTTGATGGATGGCTTCGGCGTCGATTTGATTTGTTTTCATTGTAACGAGCCTTTTATTAGCCACACCCTCCACCCTCCAACCCCAACTCCAGCTCCAGCTCCAGCTCCAACTCCAGCTCCAGCTCCAGCTTCATCACTATCACCCTCACCATCTCTAACACCAGCTCCCTGACACATCACTAACATCAGCCTCGGGCCCAGACCATTACCGGCCTTGGCGCGGAATGTGCGGCAAGCACGCTTGTTATTGCCCTTATTGTTGCCGCTGCCTCGTTGTGGCGTTGTTCGTTAAATGCAAACACTAAAAAGGGTTTTCAAACAAAAAAAAAAAAAAACAAAAAAAACAACAATCAACGCCATCAGCAATAGCAACAGTAACCCACCAAACAAACCACCCAGCGACCCATCCAACAACCAACCAACCAACCAACCAACCAGTTAGTGACCAGCCAGGCAACTACAACAACTTGCTCCTGTTACTCGACAAGGGGTGCAGGAGGGTGCAGACGGCGGGGCGACCCAACGAAACAGACGGAGCCAAAAGCAGCAGCAGCAGCAGCAGCAGCGGCCCCGACGCTGGCCACCGCTAGCGGCGACAACCACCCGATTTCGATTCTGTTTGCTATACACTGTGGCACCGCACAGTGCTGGTCATGCGAATAGCAACAGATGGCTATTTTGTTATTTTACATCGCTGCACATATACAACACATATGTTCAAATTATGTACAGTATAAAAATAGGTAATAGCGCTCGCTTTCTCTCTCTCTTCCTCTCTCTCTCTCTCTTTCTCTCTCTCTCTCCATCTCCCCTATGACCAGCTGCTCATTCCTTTTCACTCTCTCGCTCCCTCTTGCGCCATCTTCTCTATCACTCTCGCTTCATGATTTTTCTCATGTCGAGAAACTTAAACAACTCTCATTTTGTGTAATGTTGCCCTATTCAAATGACGCAAACTGTCCCATTTTTTAATTGCAAGACATTGTGCGTGTGTGTGTGTGTGTGTGTGTGTGTGTGTGTGTGTTATTGTCAGTCTGTAGCAAAGCGATTTGCATACAAATTTGGCACGAAGTGTAAATATTTAAGCAGATACAAAGTGTGAGTATTAAATTTTTGATACTAATTAATTATGCATGTGTAAATTTTGCTATGAAAATTATTATAACGCCATATTTTGGCTTACCATTTGTATGGCATACACCGAATCAAACGCACAAACACAAACACACACACACAAACACACACACACAGTATCAACTTCGATAATTCAAATCGGCACACAGAAATAATTTCGGGGCAGTTAAACAAGTTGAAGTTAGAACACAAAAATCAAATAATTCTGCGTACAGTTTGATGGGATAGGCTCTGCTGTTGTGTTTAGTAATGGAATGGAATGTTAAATGGAAGCCTGCTTTATTCAATGTTTGACGAATACTTTCGCTAATTATTAAAACTCACAGCACCCATTTATTGAGGAAGGAGCATGATTTTTATATGCTCTACATATTGTTGCAGGCAGTGTGTAACATAACATACAGCTCTGTACATAATATACGATATCGATAACGATAACGATAACCATATCGCTGTGATCAGCAATCGGTGAT